CTTCCAAAAGCAGCTTATTATTTGTTATTTTTAAATTTTGAGTTTAAAAAAAGGGGGGGCAATTGCCCCCCCCTGGCTACGCCCCTGCAATGTAGCTTCTTCATGTTCTTCCGACATAATTTTTGAATTTTTATATGACATGTGTGATGGGGTGGAGTTTGAATTAAATTATTACCAATAATTTTTATCATGTGATATTTACAAGTCATGTGCAGCCACGTGGATCATAATGCATTAAGCTAAAAATATTAAAAATAAAAAGCAATAGCAATAAGGGGGTACACAAAATAAAACCAATAAAAAGCAACAGCAATAAGGGGGCACACAAAACAAAAGCCATAAAAAGCAATCAGTAGCAATAAGGGGGCACACAAAATAAAAACTATTGGCTAGTAATAAGGAGCAGTAGCAATAAAGGGAGTGTAAAGGAACACACAAAAACAAAATATAAAAGAGTTCAGCATGTAATAGTCTATAAAATCCACACAATACTAATTTTAATTTTTAACGTTAAAAATCACTCTCCTTCCTCCTCCACAAGCTAAGCAAAATTATTTCTGTTGCGTCATATCCTCTTCTAATCCTCCGGCTCCCAATGCTCCTCCTTCTGTTCCTCCTCCTCCTTGTCTTTCATTCATACTGTTAACAATAGCTAACAATTGAGATACTGAATTGCGTAGATCCTTCACCTCCTGAGATACTGAACTGCATAGGTCCTTCGCCTCCTGAGATACAGAATTACGTAGTTCCTTCACCTCCCGAGATACTGAACCACGTAGGCTCTTCATTTCGTCAGATAATGATTTGCTTTGGTTTTTAACATCAGCTAGAGTTGCCTGTATTAAAATAATATGCATAATAAAAGAGAAAGTTCACTATGCTCACTTACTGGAGGTTCAGTTTTAATAGATTTCTCAATCTCATCAATTTTTCGTTTCAAGAAATTATGTTTGTTTGGTTTATCTTTCTTTTTAGTGACAGCTACAATCTTTCCTAACAAAGATGAAACTTTTTTTAGTCGCCCCTTTTCATCAATATAGCTTCTAAATGATCTTAGAAATTCTTCAATAGGTAATGTAAATTCAACCTACAAATATTTACATTGAGTAAGTCAAGGGTACTTGGTAATGTATATGCAAATCAGTTCTTACCCTCAGAGTTAGTCTGTAAGTATCAGCTGATTTTTGTATTTCATCAGTGTCACCAACAGCTAAACCAATCTATAAAAATGGGCTGGTCAGTGGATTGAAATAATAAAATATGGACATACCAATAGATTAAGGAATAGAATTGGCATTAAAATCACAAACACAATTATCAATGAAAATGTAATCACTGGATACTGTACATCAGGGGCATTCCTTTGATTATTCTGTCGCAATAATGAATCCATATCGAGTTCGCCCACTGTCATTGTTATTGCCTTAACAGTTGTCCTCCATGGAGTGATAAATGGAGTACGCTGGAAAAAAGGTAATAGAGACAAAAAGAGATGGGGATAATAATTATATTAGCTATCTTAAGTCTTACTATTCCTTCTGCTCTATCTTGAGGATCATAAAACATCATATAAAAAGGAACTGCAAAGGCTAAGATTAATAGTAAGGCAAGGACAACAACCTTGATAAAGTTGTTAAAAATCTTAATAAACATGACCACATATATTCCAACTACTGGTAGCTTCCTTATGGAGAATATCAGTGCAATCCAACTAAAAAATACAGCAATCACTCCAATCTGCCACTGCCATGAATGAGTACAATAGCACTGGTTGCTATGTACTGATGCAAACATTATTGTAAAGATGAATAGTGGGACTTCAATAAAGTTAACAAAACTGGTCAAATACTCTTCTCTAAACAAAACCAGTTGAAATACTTCTCGTATTATCATGATTGCAGAATAAACTATCAGGCATACACTAGTAATATTTGTGTATATTTGAGATACAAATCTTTCTTCTAAACATGAGATAGTCACATTATAGTCACATAATAGTTATTATTCTGCAATTACCTGTAAAGCAATCAATAGATGTTTCATTGTCATTTCCAAATACTTCCATACCTATTACGAATATAGTATAATTAATAAACTAGATCTACTTATAATAGCTTACAAATGTTTGAATTTGGAGGATGGACAGTGAGAGCATATGATGTCAGTAGAATGACAAACAAAAAATAAAAAAACAAATTAGTGTAATAGACTATACGTCCTATTTTATTCCATTTTTGATCAAGAAGTGTAGCAGCAAGCGGATGCTTTAATAAATCAGCACTTGGTGAATCAGCCTATATATACCGTATAGCCACAAAGTTTCGAGGCAATAAACTTTCGCGAATCAGGCCACAAGTCTTTTTTCGCGAATTAACTTTCGCGGTTCTTGTTTAAGCACACGTGTTTATGGGCAATACGGATATTTCGCGGAATTAACTTTCGCGAATACGGAAAATCCGCGAAAACAGCGAAAGTTGTACCCTCGAAATTAAGCGGCTATACGGTAATTATTATTACTACTAATAATAATTATCAATTAATAATAACTCACAAGTATGTTAAGACAATGATTCTCACTAGAGTATTTTGCTTTTGGAGGCCATTTTTCATAAGATCTTTTAGCACCAGGCTGTTCATCATTATCGTCATTCCCAGTGTTTTGTGTAGTTGAGTCACTAGATGGATCTCCTTCTAGTTTTGGTCTGTCATTACATATACCAGGTGGTACAAATAACAAAATAATATTATTCTTACTCATCAAAATCATCAAGGAACTCATAATTAAAAGTAATCTCATGATCAGGATGATCTGGTGGGTTATCTTCCTTGCAGCAGTTCTCAAAAACAACTTTAGCTACATCTACATGCAATAGAGCCACAAGTGCAATAACCACCAATAATACTAATAACGTATATTAACCTGGCATCTTCTTAATTATTCTTCTCATTGGTGTTGTGAATTGCTTTTTAGCTTCATGACTTTTCCTTTTTTTGCAACAACATATTCTTCTAATCCCACAAATTTTATCAGCACTTTCATCACTTGTATCCACTTCTGTATAGCTACATAATGCCTCCTTCCATTTATCACTTTTGACTATAGCCATTGCAGCACCTCTAGGTTATTAAAACAAATTGTAGTAACTATCCATAATTATTAGCTCTCACTTTTTTCCTTCCTCTACAGCAATATCAAGAGCATTAAGACCTTTTTCATCACATTTAGTAACATTAGCTCCGTGCTTCAACAGTAGTTTAACTATTTCTGTATGCCCTTTTATACAGGCACTAATAAGTGGTGTATTCTACATAATAATAATAATAATAATAACTAATACAAAAATTAAAAAAAGATCAAGTAGGATTTGAAACAAATTTCTACCCTTATTCCAATTCAGTGGACAATGGCTGCCATTTTGAAGCAAAGATTAGCTCTTAAGCAATATTACTATAGTTTTATCTTTTTTCATTGTTTTATAAAAAATATAGCTTATGGAAAAAATCATGACCTATAGCCTTTTTTTCTTTTTTTCCAAAATGGAACTGAGCTCTTAAAATAATATATAATAATTATGCCACCACTGTGCTCATAAGTGAGATTGACATTAACTTCCTTATGCTCCAGTAGTAGTTCAACTATTTCTGTATGTCCTTCTATACAGGCACTACTAAGTGGTGTATGCTACATGATAATGATAATGACTAATCAAAAATTTAAAAAGAATATTAAGTAGGATTTACTCTAGCTGTAATTATTTTCATCAAAAAATAATGGAAACAATGACAAGTAGAATTCCAAACAACTTTCTACCCATATAACAATTCAGTGGACAATGGCAAGCAATGATTAGCTCTTGCTTAAAGCAATATCATCAGTTTTATCTTGCTTTCCCTTAATTTTTAAAAAATAAACATAATAAATTATATCACTTACGCTCTTCTTATCAGTGACATTGACATCAACTCTATTATGCTTCAGTAGTAGTTCAACTATGTCTTTATGTTGTTGTGTACAGGCAATTTGAAGTGCTGTGTTGTTGTCTTTATCAGTAACATTGACATTAACATCCTCTTTCTTTAGTAGTAGTTTAACTATTTCTTTATGTTGCTTCATACAGGCAATATGAAGTGGTGTACGCTATATGATAATGATAATAATAATAATAATAGCTACTATAAAAATTTCAAAAAAAGAATGAATAATGGAAACAAGGGCAAGTAGGATTCCAAAACAACTTTCTACCCATACCAATTCAGCGGACAATTGGTTTGCCATTTTGAAGCAAAAATTAACTCTTGCCTCAAAACAAGCTTTATTTTGCTTTTTCTTATTTTTTGCTTTCTTTTTTAATAAATATATATTTTTTATATCTCTTACACTGTCCTTATCAGTGATATTGATATCAACTCCATTATGCTTCAGTAGTAGTTCAACTATTTCTTTACATCCTTCATCACAGGCAATATGAAGTGCTGTGCGCTAACGTAATAATAATAATTATTATTATAATTATTATAATTATAATGATATAAATAAATTACATTTTCCAAATTAGTGTGATTGATATTAACTCTCTGAGGCTGTTGCCCTTCTGCACTGGCCGTACCAGGTATACACTAACATAATAACAATAATAATAACAATAATAATAATTATTAACTTACATTTTTATCATTCATAGTGCTATTAGTATTGTCTATACCATGCTTCAGTAACAGTTCAACTATTTCTGTATGTCCTTTCTTACAAGCTATACCAAGTGGTGTATTCTACATAGTAATAATAATAATAATAATAATAATAATAATAATAATAATAATAATCATAATAATAATAGTTGCCCTCTTCCATCATAGGGCATCTGTTTCAGAGGCTTGCTGTGTCCTTGTGGCATGGTAATGCTTCAATGTGGGCATCTCGTCT